CTTCCTCTGGCGGAGGCTCATCCACCAGCAGTTGCGTTATCGAGCAATTTCAGGGCTGCGCCTTTATACAACTTTGTGAGGATTATACACCACTTTAAAGCTTATAAAACTGCAATTCTAAATTAATGCAAAGCAAGCAACTCCATTGTTGGACTTTGTATGCAGCCACTAAAACGTGCAAAGCGGTGTTGCCAAATGGGGTTGAGTTTTATCGCAATAAATAACATTTGTTAGCAGTTTAATTGCTGGAGCATCCAATTAACTTGTAATCCTCGTTCGTCTGCAGGGCTGCCAGAATTTCTCTCATTAAAAGCAGTCTCTCTTGTTTGCGGAAGCGTGAAGGCCAATTTAAAAAAAGAGTTACAATCAACGCTTTGACTTATTATTAACTTGTAACATGTATGAAAACAGGTTTTAATATTCTCTGCTCATTCTTACACTTTAGAAAAATGTCTGGTAACTTTGATAGGAACAAAATTCTAATAAAAAAATTTACACTTCTTTAGAGTCATGTTTGAGGAAATGTAATTTTGTTTGGATATGTGCTATGACCTATTAGGCTTCTGGAGCTTTTGATGAATGGAGTCAACTCTCACATTTTTACAGCCAAAGAATACAACATCCAATTTATTTTGACAGTGCCATTAAGTAAAATGCTCAAATATTTAATAACAAATTTCAGTGTAACTTTTTGTTACATCCAAAAATAGAGGCCCTATAATGGCAGTATCACGATTTGCTATCGCACGGCCAATGGTGTCATTCTATTTTCTCATCACAATAATATTAACCGGGGCTGCTACCGTTGTGAATTGGTTCACACACCGGACTTGCAATCCGGCGAGGCAGTTGAAACAACAGTGTAAGTTTTATTAAATCCCCCCCTCCCCCCACCTCTGCCTACCCAGCAGTGTAAATGTGTTCACTGCATTTAGACGATAGGCAGGTGGCATGTGGTGGGGTAAAGTTTTTTGGTACTCCCACCTGTTAATGCGCAGCGATGTGTTTATTTTCACCGCTTTATCAAATGTCCAATGCTTGCACTGGTGTCATGGTTAGCACGCTGGACTTGCAATCCACAGATTCGCTGGTTCATTCTCCCGGCCCGGCAGTTGAACCAATGGACAGGTTTCTCCAATCCTACCCATGCATCCGTCCACCCAGCTGTATAAATGGGTCCACCACAAGTTAGCCGATCGGCAAGTTGCACACGGTGGGGTAACGTGTCTGTAACTACCATCGCTTCCAGCATTTTTGACCAGTGTGGAAGAGTAGGCCAAATGCCACGTAGAGAGGCTCTCTATTACTTTCTCTCGTGGGGGCCCTTCCGCCAGCTACGGGCCCTTTACATTTTTACCTTTTAATGACATAAATAATAGATGTCATAGACCTCATGACACACGTTCTCTTCCGGAAGCTTGTAACAACTTGTTAACTGATCTTCACTCGTCCACGCACACTTTCATTCTGTCAGATATAAAAGCTATATCATCGGAGGGAAAGACTTCATAATTGCTGACGTCTGTTGATTTGCTCATTCACTTGTCTTGGTTGGCATAGCTATCTTTCCAAATCTATTCGTCGCCATCATAATAGGCTGACCATGCCAACACGCTTTAAATTCAATCTTGATTTGAAGCTTTCGTGACTGCAGGAATCCATACTCTGGTTCTTTCAGTGAAGTCACATAGGTAGAAAAATAATAGATCACGACGTTTCTGCTTAAGTAGGTGGCCTACTTCAGCAGTTTTTCTTGCTGTGGTTGTCCCACCTGATGACGATTACTTTTGTTGTGATCGAAATGTCGTGATCTATTATTTTTCTACCTACAGTGAGGGAAAAAAGTATTTGATCCCCTGCTGATTTTGTACGTTTGCCCACTGACAAAGAAATGATCAGTCTATAATTTTAATGGTAGGTTTATTTGAACAGTGAGAGCCAGAATAACAACAACAAAATCCAGAAAAACGCATGTCAAAAATGTTATAAATTGATTTGCATTTTAATGAGGGAAATAAGTATTTGACCCCTCTGCAAAACATGACTTAGTACTTGGTGGCAAAACCCTTATTGGCAATCACAGAGGTCAGACGTTTCTTGTAGTTGGCCACCAGGTTTGCACACATCTCAAGAGGGATTTTGTCCCACTCCTCTTTGCAGATCTTCTCCAAGTCATTAAGGTTTTGAGGCTGACGTTTGGCAACTCGAACCTTCAGCTCCCTCCACAGATTTTCTATGGGATTAAGGTCTGGAGACTGGCTAGGCCACTCCAGGACCTTAATGTGTTTCTTCTTGAGCCACACCTTTGTTGCCTTGGCCGTGTGTTTTGGGTCATTGTCATGCTGGAATACCCACCCAAGACCCATTTTCAATGCCCTGGCTGAGGGAAGGAGGTTCTCACCCAAGATTTGACGGTACATGGCCCCGTCCATCGTCCCTTTGATGCGGTGAAGTTGTCCCGTCCCCTTAGCAGAAAAACACACCCAAAGCATAATGTTTCCACCTCCATGTTTGAAGGTGGGGATGGTGTTCTTGGGGTCATAGGCAGCATTCCTCCTCCTCCAAACACGGCGAGTTGAGTTGATGCCAAAGAGCTCCATTTTGGTCTCATCTGACCACAACACTTTCACCCAGTTGTCCTTTGAATCATTCAGATGTTCATTGGCAAACTTCAGACGGGCATGTATATGTGCTTTCTTGAGCAGGGGGACCTTGTGGGTGCTGCAGGATTTCAGTACTTCACGGCGTAGTGTGTTACCAATTGTTTTCTTGGTGACTATGGTCCCAGCTGCCTTGAGATCATTGACAAGATCCTCCTGTGTAGTTCTGGGCTGATTCCTCACCGTTCTCATGATCATTGCAACTCCACGAGGTGAGATCTTGCATGGAGCCCCAGGCCGAAGGAGATTGACAGTTATTTTGTGTTTCTTCAGTTTGTGAATAATCGCACCAACTGTTGTCACCTTCTCACCAAGCTGTTTGGCAATGGTCGTGTAGCCCATTCCAGCCTTGTGTAGGTCTACAATCTTGTCCTTGACATCCTTGGAGAGCTCTTTGGTCTTGGCCATGGTGGAGAGTTTGGAATCTGATTGATTGATTGCTTCTGTGGACAGGTGCCGTTTATACAGGTAACAAGCTGAGATTAGGAGCACTCCCTTTAAGAGTGTGCTCCTCATCTCAGCTCGTTACCTGTATAAAAGACACCTGGGAGCCAGAAATCTTTCTGATTGAGAGGGGGTCAAATACTTATTTCCCTCATTAAAATGCAAATCAATTTATAAAATTTTGACATGCGTTTTTCTGGATATTGTTGTTGTTTTTCTGTCTCTCACTGTTCAAATAAACCTACCATTACAATTATAGACTGATCATTTCTTTGTCAGTGGGCAAACGTACAAAATCAGCAGGGGATCAAATATTTTTTTTTCCCTCACTGTACAAGACTTTACCGAAAGAACCAAAGAGTACGCTTTAAATTGTTTAATAATCGCTCCACACATTCATGGCCTGGCTTCCACTTGTGAAATTTCATAGCGGTCATTGTCTCAGAGCACTGACGTTATTTATAACCGTAGTGTATTCGTCTGCACTACTTATACATACATATCTTCTAAACACGTAGGCTTTCGCGACCAATAGCATCCATCATCCATACACATTTTTTTAGGTTAGATTGCGAAATTTTATGAAGTAATAATGATAGAACGCTTAATATATTTACGCGATATAAATATATATTTTTCATGTATAATAGTATATTTACGCGATATCAACCAAAAAAAACGAATATATTATATACATATCTACACTCACGCTGTTGCCAAGCATGTCCTTTAAACTTTAATGTCACAGCAGTTGCAGTTCTTGTCTTCCACGGGCTAATCCCGCTAACCAAGGGCATTCTTTGCATTTTGCCGTGTGTGTGCATAATATGGGGAGCGGTAGTGCAAGGGTTAGTGCACCAGGCTACGAACCTGGTGACTCGGGTTTGATTCCTGCTTATGGCCAACACCAGCCTCAAATGAGTACCTGGTGCGGCAGCATCGCCACTAGGGATACAAAGGCGGCCGGGCGTGGTGCCGTGCCTGCCTTCATAGGTGCTACTCACTAACAGCACTTGCCCCAATAGTCTGTTAAGGCTATACGGGGGATATTTGTCATTGTGTGCGTAATTAAAATGCCCACTAATAGCACCACATGACTATCCATTCAGGATGTGATTACATGCTGGTGGAAAGGCTCTTTCCTTGAGCCTGGTGGAACCATGGCATGGCCATCTACCAGCAGGGCCAAATAACGTGGTTTGAGACCCCATGCTGTTTTAGTTTTTGGAGGCCCACTTTATTTATTTCGATTCCATCCATTGATTCTTTTACCACCACCCTTGCCTGATGATGCTAAACACTTCATCGATGTTTACTTTGGCTTTTATAGTTCCAATATCTAAATGTCATTTGTGAATTGTAAAGCCACTTATAAATTAAAACAAACACAAATATTATTATTTTTGGGCTTAACTGGTAATAATGCATATTGTGATGTTCTGGGTCTAATGACCAAATTCCACTGGAGGCTCTATCATAATGCCACAGTTTTGTATTTCAACGGCTGTAAATGAGAATATGCTGTATATGCAGGGTACTTCAAAAAAATGTTAACAATTACATGGGACTATCGTTTTAAATGGAAGAAGAACGGATAATACATTGGAACATTATAACAAATGTAATGTTAATAGCTTTAAAAAGTCAAAGAGTCACCACTTGTTCGCCATCATTGTCAACACGTGCCTGGAATCTTCTCCAGGCGGTCTCCAGAGCCCGGAGGCACATTCCTTGTGGTGTTGTTGCAAATAACATTTTTTGAAGCATCCTGTGTATTTGAGGGCCCTCAAATCCAAGGTCCCGCGCTTCAACCCCTAAACCACTGCGTTAAACAGGCCTTGTCTGCTGGGCTTTAATGGCCCTCCATCATTCTCGCTTGGTGTGCGATGCGTGCAGCCCAGATCATGGGAGAGATGAAGATCTCGCTGAAGAAGGAGATGAAGACCGATGGTGACCAGCTGGTTGTTGAGATCATCCAATGCCGGAACATCACCTTCAAATTCAAGTCCCCTGATCACCTGCCAGGTATATTTGCGTACTGACCTAAATTCAACGGCAAAGTATTTACTAACTTTTTTTTTATTTTACCAGGTAAAGCCCACTGAGCTGTATAGCTCTGTTTCAGAAGCAACCTGGCCACAAATAGTAGCTCAACGAAGTGGCTTATGATCCTCACGGGAAAAACCAGAGAAAAATCCACGTGACCACGGGGAGAACATGCAAACGCCAAATATACAGGTGTCAGGGTCGGGATCGAACCCACGACCTCCTGTATATGAAGCGAGGCAGTTAACATCTCGCCAGCATGGCGAAATTTTTTATTTACTAGGACATTGCCTTCAAGTTTGTGTCGTACTTCCTCGAGTGTCTTGTATAAAAGCCTGACCTTGCCACATTAAGTCACGTTTCCCTGCCTTTTACCGCTCTGTGTTTGCCTGGCTCTACCTCGCCCAGACATCGCACGCCAATTCTGCCATGTCAAACAATACACGTCGAGGTGAGCGACAGGCCACAACGCATGATGGAAGAATACGACAGTCACAATATTATGCGTGATATGTAGCGTGTTGTGAGCCAACACGTGATACAAATTCTAACCATCATGGGATTTCCTTTGCCAGTACCAAAATATGAGAATGGGTTTTCCCCTTTTTTCTGGCAACAAAACAGCTGTGTTAAGATGTTAAAACACAAAATTGAAACATTTTACGAGGAATCATGTCTGCATTAACCACAATACTTGTGGTCAGAATGCAAACAAAAAACATACTCTGATTATATATTGGCATTGTCTTTTAAACTGATTGGTCCACACCGTTTGAGACTAGGCTCGAAAGAAAGCTGTCTCTGGTGTGGACCAATCAGTTTCAAGGACAGTGCATGCGTTATCAGAGTTATGTTTTTTGTTTGCATTCTGACCACAAGTAACGTGGTTAATGCAGACATGATTCCTTGTAAAAGGTTTCAGTTTGGTGTTTTAACATCTCAACACCTGTTGTTGTTGCCAGAAAAAAGGGGAAAACCTATTCTCAAATTCTAACTACACGAGAGAACATGCGCATGCTGTCAATCCACCGCTGAATGAGCCCCCCCCCACCCGCACACGCGGTGTGGGTCATGGGGAGTTATTTTGACGTACTTCATCAATTAGCACGGTTGACTATGTACGGTGCGAAAGAAGTTCAACATACATATGTTAGAGAAGGTGGGGCGCATAGATATTGGAGCATGGTACAGTACAACGATGTATTTTACTGGTGTGTCAGTGTTTTATTTTAACATCATTTTAAAATATATTTTTTTACCTCTGATGTACAGAACTTTGCGGTTACTCATTTGAAAGATGCTTTATAAAACTGAGTTTATTATGACTTTACTGGTCTGCCTCCGACTATCCACCACGTAGCCCTACAAGCCTCAACCAACCTGATTTATGTATGGTGGTCGATCCATCCAAGCACTCTCCAGGCTCAAAGCCAGCTTAGCTTCCGGGATCTCTCGCATTCCAGGCGATTTGCGTTATATCACAAATTGTATGTCATTTTGTGGTGGAAATATGACATTAAAATGTAGGTATATTTTTTTAAGTCGATCAATGCACTGTCTGTACGTTGAACTTCTTTTGCACCGTACTGTACGTAGCCAGCCGCGCTAATCGGAGGTGCGAGGGAAGGATAACAAACTTAACAGAAAAAAGCAGTTCTAAAAAAATGGGTTTTCAATCGAGATGATTTAAAATTGCATAGCTCCAGTGGCTTCCTAATATTGTAAGAAAGAGCATTCCAGATAGCCGCAGAAGTGCATTTGAAAGCGCGCGATGCGGTGACCATCTTTGTTCGATGGCCAGCCAAAAGCCGTCGCTTGTGAGGATGACGGAGTTCGCGTGATGATTGTTTATTCTCCTTGATGACTGTACCGAGGCGTCGCCGTTTCTCCACGTGTGCGCGCAGACCTGTACGTGAAGGTGTACGTCATCAACCTGGCATCGAAGAAGAAGCTCTTCAGAAGAAGACGCGTGTTTGTCGTCACGACCGCGAGCCATGTTCAACGAGACCTTCCGCTTCACCATCAACCCCCAGGGCCACTCGCTGCAGGTGTTGCAGTGACCAGGCCACCGCCGCCCCAGCGTCTTGAGATGCATTTTTCACCGCCATGGAAAGCTGGCCGGGTAGCCTCAGGAGTGACCATTTAATAGACCTGTAATTACGCTTGTGACCAGTGAAGCGTCGCTGAGTCTCAGGAGCGTCCTGCCACGTTATCGCAGTCGGGGCAATGTCTGTGTTAACCCAAATAAGTTATTTGTGGCTGTCAATCAGCATTGGAATGTTTGGTCCATACCAGTTACATTGTACGGTGTTTTAGCTATGAGAGCAAACCAGAGAACGCGGAGAATACACAGAATGGTGGTAGAACATACACACGCCACTCAGAAAGGCACCCGTGTCAGGAATGGAACCCAGGAACTTCTTGTTGTAAGGCACAAGTGTTCCCAATTTACCATCCTGCCCCCCAATGATTATCCCTCTTCACAATTCGGAGTTAAACTCAAAGCATTAATTTATGCATGTTGTAATGCAAGTAGAATATTCTAGTGGCAGTCTGGTTTATGCACCGGGTTATTCCAAGCCAAGATAAAAAAAATTTCTCCACCGGTTTTTTTTTTCCTTCTAAAGATACGGCCCTGAAATTGAACTAAGCCAAGGACACCATTGACTACGTGTGATGCTTCCGCATAGATCCCACGATGTTCTGACTGGTTCGTAGGGCAGCCCGGGTCACAAGCGTTACAGCTCGTTGCGGATGAGCGAGCCCCGTGAGCTCACTCTCCCGGCTCGCTTGGGAACTTTGCACTCCTGTCAGATTTCTGTATTTTTGTTGTAACATTCTGACCCGTCCCGACTGGACATCTGTGAAAAAAAAGATTCCTCCAGTACACATTAATATTCTGATTATGAACTCGGGCAGAGTCTCTGTGAGCCCGGTTCACGAACGCAGCCCTTCCCACTGGTTGCGGTGGAAACGCGGCGTTTTGAGTTATGCCGATGGAGCCGTTGTGTGGGCAGCTCTGAACGTGCAAGCCCACAATTCACACCATTTCCTCATTTTCCCATCACACAACCCTACAGCCTTGAGCATACGTCAGCTTCAATGCCATATTTTTGTACAAAATACAGAGTGGAAATTAAAATATTGGCTTGGCCTAACCTAGCACATATACTCTTACAACCACACGATATTTCACCTGCACCATAATGACATAAAGTGACGCTACGTCTATTTCTCACTGCCTTGGACTAATTATGAATCTGTAATGTTTTTGTTGTTTGTTCAGCTCTCTTGTAATGGCTTGCCAAGTTAAACGCTGTACAAAAAATTGTCCCTATTGTTATTATTATTACATAGAAGAGTTCATTGTTTATCATAAGTAGAGCAGCATGTAAGAGAATTATCTTCATCAGAGCTGTAAAATATAGCCAGCTGTGGGTAGTGGCATTGAAAAAATTCCATTTCGAGTGATTTGGATAGGAAATTAGGGGGAGCTTTCCTTTTAAGTTGGTTTATTTCGTCTGGCCACTAGTTTGCTGGAATTAGGAGTTTCGTCACATTATGGTGCAGTCAGTAAAGGTGCATAGGGTAATTGAGCTTTCACTTCTCCCTTACAAACCAACCTATCTCGTACTTTCTTCGGCCTTATTAAATAGAGGTAATCATGAATGTTAAATGTTTATTTTTAATTCACCAACTAGGATGCAATGAGAACATATGCAGTCATTATATTTTTAGAGAAGTCACGACGATGCCTAAATATGAGGGCATTTCAAAAGAGTTGGTCCAGCAGTGAAATTTGCAAAATGTCTTACGTACATTAACCATCCACCTACATTTGAATTTTAATCCGTTCACATTATTCGCAAAAGCAGGCCGTGGTGAAGAACTAACAGGGTAAAGACGGCAACATGCTGCCAATTAAGCATTGCACACAGTGAGAGCGTTGACCACAGAACGGCCACTGCTGCACGATCAGACCTCTGACCCTGGCCGTCTGCCGCCACACACGGCAGATCCTGCTGGTGTCCAACGGCGGCAAGTTTGTGCGCAAGACACTCATCGGAGAAGCGTACATCTGGCTGGACCAGGTGGATCTCAAGAAGAAGGCCATCGGCTGGTACAAGCTGCTGCTCAGCAACCTCGAGACACACTGAGCACGACCGCTCGTCGATCGCGCGCACACAGCAACGTCTCCCGTCATTGGGGTGATAAGGAAACGAATCGATGTATAACGGCACGGCCCGCCCGCCATGCCATCCGCTCATGGACACACGCTCACGCACGCAAGGCACACACGCAAAGGCACGCTCGCAACGGGCACGCTTGCAAGGCACGCGACAGAGCGGCGTCTCGCTCGGGCACCGGGGAAGCGGAAAGCGGTTCGAGAAAGAGGCCCACGGCGATGTGACTGCAAGTTGACCGGTCGCCCCGACGAGGGCCGGGAGCCGAGGCGGGACGGCAGCCCCACGGAAGGAGGAGGAGGTGGAACCGTAACGATGGTCCCGCCGTTTGCCGACACACCCCCCCCCCCCCCCCCCCCCCACCCCCCGCCCCCCCCCCCCCCCCCCCCCCCCCCCCCCCCGGTGGCAATGAAGCACTGGCAGCCAATCGCCCGTTTTGGAAAAATTTGAGACGAAGTCGTGAATCATCGCCTGACGGCTGGAATTGGGAGTTTTTTCGAGAAGCACTGCCGCAGCGCCCCGCCGCTGCCTGTGACCTTCATCGGTCGACGTCCGAGTTGTCGGTGGCCTTGACTTAGTTGGAGTCCAATGAGAATTTTGAGCCATAGCGGCACTGTGAACTTTGTACAGGAAACTTTGTGAATAATAACAGCACACTTATCCCGGATCTCAGTAAACGGTGGTTTTCTTGAATTGCTGGAGTTGAGTGTTGGGGGGGAGGGGGGGGGGGTTGGGGAGGATGATTTGGATTGGAGGGATGGGTGGTGTTGGAGGGTGGGGTCCACGGGGGGAGTGGGGCGGGGGATGCCTGGGAGATGGTGGAATGGACGCACAAATTTGTATGAGGATTTCTGAATAATGGCCCCGCGTTAGGGATCATTCTATATACTGTTTATAGCATCGTGTTCCAAACTGTATTTGCATGCAGTGTGTTGAAAACAGGAGACCTCTGTACATTTAGTGTTCTGATTGCCCCCTCTTGAACAATGTATAGAAATGTTGACCTCGATATTGTGGCATGGATACTTTGTAATTGTATGCATGCATGCTGGAGACGAAAGTTAACAAAAATATGATTGCGTCAATAGATTTTGACTTTTGACGGAGGTTGAATGCTAGTTACACTGCAGTGTTTGCGTATACACATCAAAACTCAATGTTTGCTATTTGTAAATTTTATTTCGAATCCAAGTAGACATTTTTCATGACATTGTGATGCATTGGTTTATTATTGCCAAATATACAAAGAGAATAGTTTACATTGATAAACAACCATCGGGCGTGTGTGACATTGTTATTTTTCTGATGTGCAAAGAGGTGCTCAAAAACATTGGAATATAAGATTATCAGCAAGCTCCGACTACTGACAATACAACAACGATACAATGAGTAAGTGCATTGACTGCAATGATAATTACGTTAATGACTCAAGTGTTCGTGTGCATTATATGAATATCCTGTAGGTTAAAGTTTTTATCACCTCTCGTACAAGTTGCTTACTCGCATTTACAATGTCAGTGTATATTTTTCGTTTATTTAGGGTTGGAGGGGGGCTAATTTAAAAGTAACGTTTCAAAAAATACACATTTGTACATTACTCACGACCTCTTTGTGAGGAATATTACGACGAGTCACAAGAGCGATATCTGCCGGCTTGTTACTGGGCAGAAATTCCCTCATTTGAATCGATTGTTTTTGTTCTTGGGATTAAAAAAAAAATACACTCACATCAACAAAGGCAATGTTGATTATTTTGTGGAGGAAAATACCCAAGATATTGTTGGATAGCTGTACAAACAGAGGAATGTTTTCAGGAGCCCCGTGTCTGCGAGATGGATGGGCATTTTTATTTTGGAGTAACAGCTGTCCCTGATGGACTAATTTAGAGCTGTGATGCATGGATGCTGCTCGTTATGTTCGTTGCCATTCATTCCATCCCTGAAGCCTGAGGGCAATGACACCGCAGTTCAACGATAACCGCGTGTTTTGTTTGATACGCTCGTTTCGCGTGAATAGTTGGAAGACGATCGTCGCTTCTTTGGACCTTTCACGGATTCTTTAAATGACGTTTTTTTTTTGTTTTTCTATCAAACTTTCTGTTCCCCGTTGCGTGTCAGAACGATGCCATAGTCATATCTATAATTGTTATTGCAACTCATTTCGTTCGTCAAAAGCCTACGAAACTGAGCTTACAACAAATCATATCCTGCTACAAATCACAATGTGACGGGTTTTTTTTTCTTGTTTCCGGGAGATGTTATAAGAATGTAAGTAAATATTACAAGAATTCTGCGGGAGAACGCTATGAATATGTATCGCGAGAATGTGCGTAAGAAGCATTGGCGAGGCGTCGTGGCATCAACGGCGTTGGCCACAAAGGTGACGAGTTGATAACGTTTTGAAACCCAACGATAGTTTTTACCAAGGCGTGAACTGCAATTGTCTTGAGACAGAGAATGAAGTCAGACTTTTACGAATGGTCTGTTTGTGAGTTGTGTTAAAACATTGTTTTTGTTTACGTTTACATTGAATAATATGGTGTTTGCCAAACAAACCTTAATCATTCGCCAATGAAGGGAGCTGCGCGTGCCATATTATGATTTACCGATATCAACTCAAACACGAATGCACACTGGCTTTTATGCAGGTCTATACATCCCAAGTTTTGACAATTTTATTAATTTCTAAGATTATTATTTTTTTCCCCTTCAGAAAAATGCATGCTGCGTTAACACGCGTCCATGACCCCCATTCTCGACATTTCTAGGAACCGATTTTTTTTGCTGCCCTTAAAAAACGAATTCCGCCCTGCGGAATTCAAACAGACTGCTACAATTACGACAGAATAGAGGCAACAATTCTTTGTCATCGTCACCGCAGGCGGCTATGTTCTACCCATGGCTAGAGGAAGGCCTCCCTGTGTCTCTGCCCATCGCCTCATGGTGCGCGATGTCACAATGCTACCGCTGCATCCTCCGCAGTGGTCATCCTCCAGTAATAAGAGTAATTTGTAAATGTATGAAGCGCCCTTGAACAATCGTTCTCAGGGCGCTATGCATGGAAAGGCGGAAATAGTTTGACATCAACCAAGGAAAGAAGAAGTGAGAAACATGTTTGAAAATATATAAAGAGAGAGAGAGAGAGACATTTTGAACAGGTGCGTTTGTGGTCGAGATTTTAAGTTCTGCAAGTGTCTCGAAGTCCTGACCTCGAAGGGCAATGAGTTCCACAGTTTAGGTGCCGTGACTGCAAAGCACCCATCACCACCTCCCCCCCCCCCCTCCCCCCCCCCCCCCCCCCCTCCAAGTGTGAAGCCTAGAGACAGTGGAACAGTGAATGCACAATCTGATGATTTTTTAATGATCATGATGGAATAAATGGCTGAAGGTCATGAATGTAGAGAAGAAAGAAGTCCATTTATTAGGGCGTATATTCGCTCCTCTGACTGACAACTCGCCAAATCCCACCTATTGTTTTCTTAACAGTCAATTAAATGCCCTCTAATTTCCATTCCCGATAAGCCATGGCCGATACAATTTGTGGATTTTTTGTTGCATTAATTTGTATTATTGTTTGGTTTAAAAAAAGACATTGCACAAGCAATAAAGGCACAGTTTGGGATCACTCACATCGACATCTGTCATTGAACCGATGAGGCATGCGTTTATTTTTGCTCAACAAAAGCCTAGCAATGTTGAAGGAAAATGGTTAGGGGTTCTCTAGATGTCATAATAAATGTATTCCTTCATATACATAACCACATTGTAATTATAAAACCCAGTACTGTATACTGAATCCACTCCAAAGCCTAATATGTGACATTTTTATCACATGGCTATCATCAGATCTCCTTTTCATCAGAATCCTTTTCATCAGGATCCTTTCATGGTCTGGCCCAAGGGCCCCAGTGTAGTTCACAGGACTAGAAGATTATCGTTAGAACGATCTGCTGCAAAGCCTCCTCGTGAAAGAGATTTTGTTTAATTAGTTTTGGTTGTTTTGCTTGGATAATCCCAGGAGACGGATATCATCTCATTCACACGGTGCACGTGATTATTCTTGTCGTCATTGTCACTTTTATTAACACGTTTGCTTCTTTGGTTCATGTTTTCTACCATTATAGTGACCATATATAATGTGTGTATAAGTTTTTTATTGTAATTTTTTATTTTTTTACGACCTCGATCTTGATTGCATTCTTTCTGCATCACATTTACCGCAAAGTGTTCAACCAGTTGACGTTATGAAGCACAACCTCAAACTCTCCTTGTTTCTTTTGCAAGTGGAGTCGTATCTTTGTTTGCGCTAGCTGGGCATTATCCATCTGTTCTCTTCACGAGGCACAAGATGACATCGTCTCCGTAAAATAAAATAAGATGCTATTGCATATTTGCATCATTCTTTGTATGAAGAATCTGCATACTTTGCAGATGCATCACGAGTATTGTGGACAATCACTTCCGTATCAGCAGCAGTGGCAACATTAGAACCATGATGACTACACTCCTTTAGAGCTGTGTTTTATATGGATAACCTGCTTGTGCGTTATTGCTAATTACGCTTTACACTTCTGGACAGAATAATCAGTACTCTTGATAAATGTTCCACGCGAAGCCAGCACGAAACATATTTCCATGCAAATGAGCATTTCCCTCATTGTAAACCAACCGGTACCAATGGATTATACGAAATAATTATAAGGCTTAATAAAGAAGACTACTAAGGCTTGTTCGCGAAGGGACTTTGTGAATTGAGGCCTTCACAGGCTTGTCGAGCGCCGTGCGGTGAGTTGTCGAGAACAACATTTGGATGGGGTCGTCGGTGCTCCCCCCGCGAAACTGGCAGCGTGGAGGAAATCGGATTTATATCCTCGCGGTAACAAGAGCGATGGGTCCTCATTGCGGATGGAAGTTGGCAGCTGATGTCTGTGTGTGTGCGTACCGGTGGGGAGCGGTCGTGTAGCGGTTGGCGCGCTGCGCTACGAACCTGGCGACCCGGGTTAGACTCCCGCTCATGGCCAACACCGGTGACGATTACCTGAACCGGTTCTGGGCCTCCCCTAGGTCGACTCAGCCTCAAATGAGTACCTGGTGCGGTTGGTAAAAACATCGCCACTAGGGAGACAAAGGCGGAAGGCGTGGTGCTGGCCACCAACCCCCTCGTGTACCGTTCCGGCCTTCATAGGTGCTCGCTAACAGCACTTGCCCCCTACAAGTCTGTTAAGGCTATACGGGGGATCTTTGTCTTTGTACCGGTGTGCTCATCGCAGTTGTGATGTTTAGTGAATGGCGAGAGAGGGGGGGGAAGGTGGGTGCTGGAAGACGCTTGCCGCATGAGCTCCACACCCG